TCTTCGGAGAAGACGATGATGTTTATATGGGAACCTGCAAGAGGCAAATTGGTCATTGGACAAATGGTCGATTTTGATTGATTAGATTTATTTGAGCTAGCTAATCCTTTTTCGTGATCCTGACTCATTAGGTCTGTAACGGTCCAGACTCACCGTTAGCTTTGGGTTTTCCCTAAAAACTTTAAAACGCGTCTAGAGAAAGTTTTTCACACCCTTATAAAATGTTTAAAACGCGTCTAGAGAAAGTTTTTCACACCCTTATAAAATGTGTATCGTTTCCTCACTGACCAATGTGAGATATCATAATCCATCCACTTCAGGGCCCAGCGTATTCGCACTCATTTCTTTCTCTAATCGATGTACCCTTATAAAATGTGTATCGTTTCCTCACTGACCAATGTGAGATATCATAATCCATCCACTTCAGGGCCCAGCGTATTCGCACTCATTTCTTTCTCTAATCGATGTGGAACCACCACCAAATCCACCCCATTCGGCGTTCAGTGTACTTACTGGCACACCGCCTCGTGTCTACCCTCTTTGGAGAACAACTCCCTCGTTGACACATTGCTCGGTGTCTAGATATGATACCATTTGTAACGCCCAAGCCCCACCGCTAGCATATATTGTCCTTTTTGGGGTTTCCCTTTCGGACTTCCCCTCAAGGCTTTAAAACGCGTTTGATAATGAAAGGTTTCCACACCCTTATAAAGGGTGTTTCGTTCTCCTCCCCAACCAATGTGGGATATCACAGGATTGACCTCGTAACTATATTATCTAATAGTGGTTTTGAAAATTACACTCTTTTTAATGACGGTACGTTGTGGGGATGGACTCTACTGATGATCTTACCTTGAGAAGCAGGGTCTATACGTGTGTTTTATTGGTTGAAAGATGATAGATTGGAGTTGCACATATCCTATGAGTCTATGAGGCCCTAAAAACTACCTAATCGACGCACTAAGTGGCTATGAATTTATATGACCATCAAGCTACTAGCTATTGTAGGCTACCAAAGAGCCAATAAAACGTGATATGAACCACGACCAAAGAATTTTCATACCTCAAGGTCCAATTACAAGGACGAGAGCCAAGAAGCTACAACAAATATTATACAGTTATATTCAAGCTATGGTGAGCTCATCAAAGAAAATTTTAGAAGACGTTGGAGACCTCCCTTATATGTTATGCAAAGTTGAGCTTCAAGAAAGAGATGAATTAAATGCACTTTAAGTTGCATTTAATGAACTCCGTTGAATTTATAAAACTAGTCAAAGGTGACTAATAACCACATTTTATTAATTGCATTATTTAATTATAGTTTAATTATTTGTTTGTCATATTTAAGCTAGGAGTTAAGGTTATATTGTAAACCACGTATGTTACTATATTCCACCATTAACTAGCCATTTTAATATGGAGCTTATACGAGTGTTTCTCATTTACTAGCCCATTTAATTTGATAGTTATGTATCACACAGGTTAATGTTGTAAAAGCTATATAAAGCCTTATTTTCTTTTATTAGACATCAGATTTTGGAATTAAAAATATAATTTCTATTTTACCTTTGTTGAGAGCTAAACTTTGTAAATTTTTGTGTTTAGAACTTGCATGTAGAGTCATTCAAGTGGTATTGATCAAACCTCTTGTGGAGTAATTCGAATCACGAGTTAGAAACGAGTTTTCTTTACTCTTGATCTTGATCATTAAGGTAATCCGTTCCACCTTGGGTTGATTTCCATATAAAAACGATTCAAATGTGGCTGTCGGTAAGTCTTATATATGAACTAGGAGTTTATTGACAAGAATTAGAGAAATATAGATAAATTAGTTAGAATATCGTGAAAAATTCCATTATAATAAATGAAACATCAAAACTCTATAGAGCGAACAAAGAAAATAGCCTTAAAGGAACACCCATCACTAGAAGCGGTTTATGATACTGCACGAGTGATAACTCGAGCTAGATCTCGAACTTGTGATCGAAATCAATAAATTTAAGATTTGTCAAATAAAACCTAGAACCTTTCATTATTTCATTAAAATATTAAAATTCAACAAAAATAATAAATTGTGATTATTTAAATGGGTATGGTTTTTTTTTTTTTTTAATCTTAAATTATAAATAAATATTTGTTAAGATTGAGATTTCATTAGTTGGAACTATTTATTCAAATAAAAATAAAAATATAAATATAAATATAAAGGCCGGTAGGTTTATTCCAAACAAAATATAAATATAAAGGCCGGTATGGTAATAATATAAAATTATTTGATATTAATTATAAACAAATCCGTTGTAGTCTAGTTGGTCAGGATATTCGGCTCTCACCCGAAAGACCCGGGTTCAAATCCCGGCAACGGAAATTCTTTTTGTTTTTCAAATTTCATTTTGTTGCCTCTTCCTTTTATTTATTTTTCAAATTTCGAAAATGAATAAACGATAATTACCGCTAAACTAAGCTCATATTGAGTATGTTATTTATTTAGCACTATAATTTTTAAAACTTGTAAATATTTTGTATTTGTTTATTAATATTATAAAAAATAATTTTTTTGACTAATTCTTTTCCAAGACTTTGATTTCCATATCTAATATTTAAAGACGTTTTATTTAAAAAGTTTGATAATAATTTTTTTAATTACTTTTCCAAATCCACGTAATCAAAAGGAAAGTCTTTTATTCCACGTCAGCGTTTTTAGTGGGCCATGGCAAGACTAGTCAACAGCTGATCATTCTTATTTAAACCAGCCAAGCTGCTAGCTAAGCTTCATAAACAACCATGGCTTCCAACAAGATCATCTTCTTCCTTTTTTCCTCTCTCTTCCTCCTGCAGGCTGTTTCTGCCGTTGAGTACATCGTCACGAACGACGCGATCGGAACTCCTGGCGGTATCCGCTTCGACAACGAAATCGGAGCAGATTACAGCCGGCAGATATTGGCAGCTGCCACTGATTTTATTTGGACCATTTTCCGGCAAAGCTCCGATGCTGATCGGAAGAATGTGCAGAAGGTCAGCCTGTTCATCGATAGAGACTATGATGGAGTGGCGTTTGCTAGCAACGACGAGATTCATGTCGGTGCAGACTATATTGCTAACTATGGCGGAGACTTGAAGAAGGAAATAACAGGTATTAATATATTTTAATTTCATGTCTAATAAATTTGTTTTTTTAATTTTTAAATTTTTCTTTAAAAATGTTAAATTAAACTTTTAAAATTTTTAAATATTTTAAGAATTTATTAAATATAAAATATTTTTTTTTGACAAAAATATTCCTAAATTTTAGATTTGGACTTATTTTTAAAAATTTGATAATAATTTTACATTAAAAAATTAAAAAATATCCTTAAATTTTCACAAACTAAAAATATTAAAATTAATTAATATTTTATTTAAAAATACACTTGATTCTAAAATTTCAAAAATATTATTATCTTTAAAATAAAATTTTATTATACCTTTAAACTTAAAAAAAAAATTAAAAATAACTTTACTTATGAAAACGTTATTAATAAGTTTTAAAAGTACCCATAAATAATTTTTACTATTAATATATTTAAAATTGAAGAAAAAATGATTTATAAAAGGTAAATAAATAGTTTACGTCCATTTATAAGATGTATATAGATAATTTTCATTCACGAATTAAATATTTTAAATAAATGTTCGAGGAGGTAAATATTATTTTTGAGAATTCAATGTATATTTTTTATTTTTTAATTTAAAAAAATAACGTGTATTAGTGAAATTTTCTAAAAATAAATTTTAAAAAATAAATTTATAAAAGATTAAAGATATTTTTGAAACAAAATAAAAATTATTTCCATCCAAAATTAATTAATAATAATAATAATAATAATAATATATATATATATATATATATATATTTTTTTTTTTTTTTTTTGAGGACAGGAGTGCTATACCACGAAATGACCCATATTTGGCAATGGAATGGGAACCCAAGTTCACCGGGCGGGCTGATCGAAGGGATCGCGGACTACGTACGGCTGAAGTCGGGGTATATTCCGGGGCACTGGGTGGGGCCGGGCGGCGGGAGTAGGTGGGACCAAGGCTACGACGTGACGGCGAGATTTTTGGACTATTTAGAGGGGCTGAGAAGTGGGTTCGTTGCAGAGCTGAACCGGTGGCTCAAAAATGGCTACTCCGCCGATTACTTCCTGCAGTTGCTCGGAAAGCCGGTGGATCAGCTCTGGGCAGATTACAAGGCGGCGTTCCGAAATTAGAACTCTTTTTTTAATTAATTAATCAATTATTGCTTATTAACATATTCCATATTATGTATGCAACACTTTTATAATAAAATAACTCAGAAGGCTAATTTGGTAATTTTATCATGAATTTAATATTATATCACATGCCAGCACGAATATTAATTTTTATAAATTATATATATATTAAAAATAATTTTTAATGCTAAAAGTCTATGAATATATTTTTAACCGGTATTAGTAGTAAAAATATATTTTTAATTTTTTTAAAATGTAGACCGTTATATTTTGAAATACGAATGAAAATTTAAGAGTATTTTTTAAACGAAATAATAACTCTTTCCATCCAAAATTAATAATAGAATATATATTTTTTGAAATACCTTTACTAAAAGTTTAAGATAGTTTTTAAATTATAATGATTTTTTATCAAATATTTATTATAAATTATTTTAATATTTAATTTCACGGTTACGACTCCTTTCATCACAAAAGCAAGTCTTTAAAACTCATAAGAGAAATTATAAATAAATAAATAAATAAATAAATATATATATATATATATATATATATATAATTAGACTGGAATAAGAGAAATTAAAAAATTAAAATTAAAAAAAATATAAAAAATATATATATATATTAAAAATAATTTTACTTAAAAAAAAAAGTAATTTTTCCAATTATCTTGTTTTGTATTTCCACGTGTCATATAAATATCGACGTTCAATTTGCCGCCTCATTTTAAACGCTACTCTACGTTTCCTTCCGCGGCACTCTTTGCTTCCACAGGAGCGATGAATTCTGGTTCGTCTCGCTCGGCTAATTCCTCCGCCCAGAGATCCAAGCGAATTCTCGACAATTCTTCTCCGTCGAGCCCTTCCAGTAGCGGTGCCAACAAGAAGAAACGGATCGACCAGAAAACCCTAGGCGTCGCATGGGGAGCCAATTCCAGTTCTTCCTCTCGCTCCTCTCGCAAATCGCCCTTTCCAGATTTCGGAAGGTTTTTTTTTTCCTCTCTTTGCTTTCACATGTTCGAATTGTTAGATTGGGAGATGGCGGTAATTTGAATTTCACCTTTGCACTTTACTTGGAAGCAAGTTTGGTTAGTTGAATCATATATCTTGTAACGGATGTTCTACATGAATTTTTAAGTGAATTTTGGAGTGTTGGAGGGCCGTTATCAAATTGATGCTCTATCGGATTATAATTGAATTCGCTTAGCTTCTTAACTGTTGTTGAGGATTTTTTGGTATGACGTGATTAAAACTTATATAGTGTCTTTATCAAATTTTCTCCCTCAAGATCTTTTTTCTGAACACAGCTATATGGTAGAAAAGAACAGAAAACTGCACAATCAGTTTAACGTTGACGCTTCAAGTGCTTCACATAGTGGTACGAACTCCGCAAATCAAATATTTCAGGGCGTTTCTATATTTGTCGACGGTTTCACGATTCCTTCAAGTCAGGTAGTCTATCTAATAATTTTAAGTTGAGCCGTGAATGTAAAGTAAAACTACCAAGAAGTATGAGTTTCAATTTACAATTTTACACTTGTTTTTTTCAGTTTTTTTAGCAATTTTTAAATCTTTCCTTTGAGAAGGAATGCTCGTGAAAGTTATGTAGAAAACTTTAGACTTTACAAGTTATAACCTTTTTAGGCCTGTCCTTATCTATTATTATTTTCAATTAGCATGATAATCTTGTTGAGCGTTTTGTGGGCAATTGTTACTGACAACAAGTTAAATTCAGGAATTGCGGGGTTATATGTTGAAGTATGGTGGCAGATTTGAGAATTATTTTTCAAGACGTAGTGTTTCTCATATAATTTGCAGCAATTTACCGGATAGTAAAGTAAAGAATCTCAGGTTTGGTTCGTGATGTCTTCATTGTAAAAAAAAAAAAATTATAGTAGTCTTGTTTTGGTGAAGAATTAAGATAAAACTCTTTTTGGTTATAATTCAGGTCCTTCAGCCGTGGACTTCCAGTTGTAAAACCCACATGGATCTTGGATTCTGTTGCTTCTAATAAGCTATTAAGTTGTAAGTTATTGCATTGCTTTTATTTGTGATACGTAAATTTAATTAGTGAATAAATGCTTCAGGAATACATTAGAAAGTATTTAATACCAGGTTGTTGGCACTTGAACAACATCAAAGCTATTTCATTTGTCCCGAAAAAAAAAAACAAAAGGGTCTCAAATAGAGATGCAAATTAATCTTTCCACCCGACAGCTGAAATGGATCACATTTTTTCTGTATAACTTTGTCCCAATAACCGAAAAGGTCTTAAAGAGAAATGCAGACTAATTTTTGCGCCTGTTAGCTGATATGGATATCATTTGTCTGTTTCTAGGGGTTCCTTACCAACTTGATCAGCTTGTAAGTAATCAACCAAGATTATCAGCATTCTTTTCTATGAAAAAAGGTCCGATGTTGGAGAAACGCAAAATGTGCATGACTACTGAAAATAAATATGGAACAGAGGATTCAATGTCCCTGGTGGCTGTGAATTTAAAGGATTCACGGTCTGAAGTGAATGAATTGATAGAATCTAGAGTAGAGATGCATTCCGACTCTGAAATGAATCTTCAAGATAATGCAGATACTGAACTGAATGAGAAGCCAAGTGATGATTTAAAGGCTGGCGAATTAAAGGATACAAGTATATCTGATGTAGATGAATCTATTGAATATGTACCACAAATCTGTGAAAGTTTTGAGATGCTTCCTCGAAAGAATGCTGATGTAGAAGTAAAGAAAGAGCCAAGCAATGAAAAATGTAATTATGCAGATGAAGAACCAGGAATTGTTGATGCGGGTCAGAGCAGTGAAGAAAATATATCTAGTTTGCATGGTTTGTCTAAGTCAACTCACAATGATAGCACCAATAATTATCATAGCGATGGATCATCAAGTTCTTTGGTGGCTGGGTCTTCTAAGCTGCGGCATTCAAATTTTGGGAAGGCAGATTTTGTGGAAAGTTATTTCAAGGTACTTTAGGTTATGCAGAGGTTTTTTCCTGCAGAGTGTCTTATTTGATAGTGTTTGTCTTACCTACTATACTTTCATCCATGTCTTCTAAATCTCAACATGTATCAATAGAGGGCTGTTGAACTAGGTCCAACCAGGTGCCTTAGTGAAAAATCAGATGGAGTAGAAAAACTATAGGCCTTGTTTCTAGTATTTATATTGTTTCATTACAGTTTGATTTTAACTTTTCACTTTTCCCATTTCATAGACTAAATTTCCTTTTTCAATCTGCAGAAGTCTAGGCTGCATTTCATTGGAACTTGGAGAAATCGTTACTATAAGCGTTTTCCACGATCAGCTAGTGGGTCCAATTCCGTAACTTCTCATATCAGTGGTTCTTCCCATTATCAGTCTGCCACTATTATCCACGTTGACATGGTAATTTTTTAGCAATATTGGTCCTTCAATATCTGTATTTTTGCTCTTTACCAAGAATTACTTGATTGAACTGGGGAGTTATTTTTTATTCATCATTATATTTTCGTTAATTCATTTTGAAGTATACTAATACCAGTATGCTGCTGCCTCAGGACTGTTTTTTTGTCTCAGTGGTTATTCGAAACAGTCCACAATTTAAGGATAAACCTGTAGCTGTGTGCCACTCCGATAATCCGAAAGGAACTGCAGAAATATCATCTGCAAACTACCCAGCTCGAGGTTATGGTTGGTCTTCTAGTTCTCTATATATAATCTATAACTCAAATCTAAGGCTTTTCTATAGTATCAATTGATTCTCTCTTTACCCATGTTTATCAAGGAGTCAGAGCGGGAATGTTTGTTAGAGATGCGAAAGCTCTTTGTCCCCAACTTGTTATTTTTCCATATGACTTCAAGTCCTATGAGGAGGTAAGTGATTGGCCATCCACTGGGTTGGGATTTGTCAATCAGTTTGCTTATGGAAGATGAAAATCATATTCTACTTCTGACATCTTTCACATACAACGGTTTTTTTGGCATCTGTGGAAATATGCAGGTAGCCGATCAGTTCTACGACATATTGCATAAGCACTGTGAGAAAGTGCAGGTCTGTTTCAGATAGCATTTCTTGTTTGCAATTCAATGTGATTTGCTTTGTTAACGTCCCAATGCATGTCAAATGCAGGCTGTAAGTTGTGATGAAGCATTTTTGGATATCTCAGGCACAGACAAGGTAGATCCTGAGGTTTTGGCTTCAAAAATAAGAAAAGAAATTTTTGATACAACTGGATGTACTGCAAGTGCTGGAATATCTACAAATATGTTAATGGCTCGCCTTGCTACCAGAACTGCAAAACCTGATGGTCAGTGTTACATTCCTTCGGAGAAGGTAGGTGCTAGGAATTCTTGCAATAAACCTTTATTTGATCAATCCGTCATTCCTTACAACACTATGATTCAATTCTTGTTGGATTATTCATTTTGATGTCTAGAATGTTGTGTCATGTATTTTTGTCTTATGAATCACTTCACTATCTTTATGTGCAATCTTGAAGGTAAAGGGATTGTTCTTTTCAATTTTTTCTTGGTATAGTTATCTCAGATATTGTTTGTTTTTTTATTTTTAATATCAAGGGATGAAACTTTGAGAAAATGAAAGAGACTGATGCTCAAAAACACATACTCTACAAGGGAGTGAAAACAAAACGTAATATTAAAAGAACCAATATAGAGACTCAACGAAGAACAAAATACAAAAAAGAATCTCCCACAACTAGCAGAGAAAGGAAACAAAATATAACAGAGGAACAGAACAAAGAAAATCTATTTCTTTTGTATATTATTCAAGTTATACTTCCTTTTATTGTCGAGAAGAATGTATATAAGTTGTTCTTTTTACTCATTCCCTTTCGTTTTTCTAGGGTGATGATTATTTAGATCCGCTTCCCATTAAGGATCTTCCCGGAATAGGGCGTGCCTTGGAGGAGAAGTTGAAGAAAAGAAGTGTATTTACTTGTGGTCAGCTGCGTATGATATCCAAGGTGGCTCATGACTTGTTTGTTTGGTTACTCGAGGCTTACATTAATGTCAAGGAATTTAGCTTTCTTTAATTCTAGACATATCTAATATTTTTTTTGAGTTAGTTGCAATTTTCAAGATGATGTGCCATTAAACCTGTAAACATGTGTCATACACATACTCCTTTCTATTACGTTTCCTATTTTTTTTAAAAAAACATAATCTGACATTGACTAAAAGTGGTAAAAGACTCAGTAAAGGCAACAACTACATAAGTATAATGCTTTTGATGTAGAATCCAAAAGTAATTATGCGGGCATAGGCCCAAAATGAATAAACCTCATACCATTATAGAAATATCGAGATGCTTCGCTGTCCTAACTAGTGGAAACTTTGGACTTAACCCTATTGATGGAATTATCAAGTGCCATACAAAAGAGTGATGAGTGTCAGAGATGTAGTCATAGAGGATCGTGAAAAAAATCTTGTATGTCAAATAAAAAATAGTTGTCTCAACAATGTGGTTTGTGGTAACTACCATGGGTTGGCCTAAAGGTTATTGAGACTAGGGAAAAAGTGAAAGAACTTAGAGGGAATGAATTCAAACTCCATGTGGGGATATTAAAATCCTACAAATTTCTTGTCAACCACATGTCCACATATTGTAGGGTTAGGTGGTTTGTTTTGTGAGTTTAGTTTGGATGTGTGGAAACTGATTGGATATAAATATAAATCAATGCGTCTCATGTTAACTGTAATCTATTTATAAATCTATGTGATTCATTTTAGTGTATTACCAAACAAACACTCTACTCTGATAGAAATATTGTTGAAGAGAGGCTGGATAGATCTTTATTGGAGGGGAGGATTGTTGAGGATGCAACAAAGAGTAGTTGGTGTGACAAAGATGAGAGGATTATTTCATGATGTGATTTGTAGTTGATCCCTTCCAACATATAGGCTTGGGAGAGAAGTGGACTTGGAATGTGATAGTTGCGTAAATGTATTGATGAAAATTGTTATAAAAAGAGGTAATGTCTTTAATTTAATGTGATGATTTTGAAAATATTTTATACGTAGAAGATAACTGATTTAGTATTGCATACCATTTGTTTGTATGTTATTACTATCGTTTTCTGTTAATGTTAGGATGTAGGGCGTCAATTCTGGCACTTGTTTTTATCTTCTCTAGAAGACTTGTGTATTTAGGCGCTCCTACTTTGACATGCATATGTTGTCCAGCATGGCAGAGGGGTAGGAATTGTTGTCTTTCCCTGTCTTGTTTAATTGTGGCCTGGCGTGAGCTAATGCTAAAAAATTGTATTAATTCTCTCCTGGAACTTTTTTCTATTATTGTTGTACTGATTAGCAGTTACTCCTCAGTAGTGTCTCCGTAATGGATTTGCTGGTGGGTGGAGATTGATGTAGGGTTGCATGTAGAGGTCCATTTACATTCTAGAGAGTTTAGTTGTGGCTATGCTACGACTAAGTTATTTTGCTGAGTTTGTTTCTCAAACTAAGTTATTTAGAACGTTTACTTAATTTACTCTCGACATGTCCAGGATTCTCTTCAGAAAGACTTTGGATTGAAAACAGGGGAGATGCTATGGAATTATAGTCGGGGGGTGGACAATCGTGCAGTTGGGTTGATCCAGGTTTGACAGAAACAAAATAACCACATAATTTTTCTTTAACTTCCAAGTGTTGTTTTGCTGATGTGAATTCGAATTTATTTTGTTTTGTTTTCTTTTAGCTCTTTTGTTTTGTTTTCTTTGTTTAAATACAATAATAAATATATTCCTGCATTCGATTATACTGTACTGAATATACTAAAACCATTCAAAATCTTCACTCTAGGGTAGACAACGCAAACTATCATTGTGATTTGCGTTGTAAAATGATAAAGACATTATAATATGTCTATATAAATAGGATTTTATTAGTCTTTTGGTGTCATTTTACTATTGGTTTAGGGCTTCTATATGTGCCCATTAATGTTGCTTCCTGAACTATTGTAAACTTTGACAAAGTCCTTTTGACATAAATCATGATAAAGATGCATTATTTTGTCTCACTACCACCTTTATATTTTCCAAATAAGATTATCTCCGAACTGTGGCCTAGTTTTGCTGTCTAGACTTTCTTACATTGTCTCATAATTTCATATTTTTCATGTTTACCCTGCTTATGGTTCAGGAAAGCAAATCCATAGGAGCTGAAGTGAATTGGGGTGTTCGGTTCAAGGACTTTAAAGATGTGGGTAACGTAAAGGGTTGCGTGTTTACACATTTTAGACGAAGAAATACATATGAACGAATTAATAACTAATACTTTAGCTATTACAGTGTCAATGCTTTCTCTCGAACCTTTGTAAGGAGGTTTCATTACGATTGCATGGATGTGGAGTGCAGGGACGCACCTTTACCCTCAAGGTAGATTCTCTTTCTTTTGTATTCAGTAAGAAATATTATTGAGTTATTGTTCCTTCAAGATATGGATGAGATTTTTCCTTCTCCATTTATGAGAAAGTGCTATTAGCAATTCTTTTATGTGATGTATTGATTTAGATAAAAAAACGAAGGAAAGATGCCGATGAACCGACAAAGTATATGGGCTGTGGAGATTGTGAAAACCTGAGCCACTCGTTGACGGTATAGTTGTCTGACAAATACCTCCCATTCCCTTTTCATGAATGGATTAGGTTCTATCACCATGTTCATGCTATTGTATAATGCTTGTTTATTAATTATGTGAACTTTGGCTTCTAAAGTTTTAAGTTTTTTATTGTACTAGGTTCCTGATGCCACTGATGACCTGGAAATTCTTCAGAGGATTGCAAAGCAGCTTTTTGGGTTTTTTGTCATAGGTAAACTAGGCGTAATTATGATTTTTCAGTTAATAGTAACATTTCTGCTTGCCATCCTGAACCACAGTGTCATTAATATATTATATTGTTTCAGCAACATTTCTAACATTAAGTTGGCATAAAAGTAATACCGTTGGCTTCTTTCCCCATATATTTTAAATACTTTCTAGTTTTCCTTACCTTCTGGACTGAAAGATGTGCCTTTTTTAATTGAGTTAAATACATATTATTTTCTTTATGAATCTCTATGTTATCCTATTTTGTCATGTAGATGTCAAAGAAATTCGTGGTATTGGTTTACAAGTTTCGAAGCTTCAAAATGTGGATATCTCTAAGCAAGGTAAGTTCGTTATGATTTTCAGATACTATTGATGTTGCTTCTGTGGAAATGAAAATATGTATGAATAATGAAGAGAACTAGAGGGGACCTCGATGGATGAAAACAATTTCAGTGAGCAAATCAGAAACTATTTTAACGAAGAATATTGAAAAAGGGTGCTTTTGGGGAGTGATCCCTCAGTGGTGGACATTGGTTTTGTTAGGAAAAGGAATAATAATCCTTCACGTTGAGACACAAGATCATGTTACTTCCCTCATAAATAGTCAACTTTATCGAGATCTATAATGGATGTGTTACTGTAGTAACCGAGAAGATCTTTCAGAAATTTTTGGGGAAAATCTTTGACGCAGTCCAAAGAGTTCAACACAGGAAATTCATCATCAACCCTTTCCTTTTAGTCAAAGCCTTATTGAAATGTACAGTGGAGGATAATGCTTGGTTGCTTTGTTTGAATAAACGATGTTCCTGAAACCAGGAAAGTGAATTCAAAATTTTATTGAATATTGATAACTTGCTGAATAAGAAAATACTGCAAAATGCTCCAAGTAGTATAGGAAAGTTTTCTACACACCCATTTATTAGATCAACATGAAATCGCTTTGAAAGCTGCGATCCATTTATTAACATCTTCATTCCGACACTCCTTCACTAAGCTGTAATTTCTAGATAGGCAGTGAGGGGCTACTGATATCTAATTATATATCTTCCTAGAATCTAATATATGATCCACTCGAATTTTGAAAGAAGTATCCATTTCATATTTAAAAGAGAAGTAATTAAACAAATGCTTGCAATTTGCAAAAGAAAATAAGGAATTCTTTGCCAAATTTTTATGTATACATTTAATTAAATAATAGGTGGATTATTTTTGGGCCGTTACCTTTTGGCACTTTTTTTTTTTTGGTGGAAAAATTGGTTTCATGTGAGTGTGTTTTCTTCTGAAGGGATGAAAAGAAATTCTTTGGACGCATGGCTTCATTCGTCTGGAACGACAAATGTGGAAAATAGTACTGGTCCTTTGGTAAAGGAAAGGGCTAATATAGGTACGGGAGTTCATTTTCCAATGGTCTTTATTTCTTCTCTTTTTTACTTTTAGGATTGATGTACTTCTGTTCTTTTCCACTGAATCGACTCTTTTAAGTTGAAGCAATGATTGGCGGGAATCATGCTAGCTCAACAGCTGTATTTTTCTTTTCTTTTTCCTCCTGTGACATATTGATATGTTAGTGATAGTAATACTATCTGATTCCATGAGATAGGTGGTGGTTAGGGTCACAATCGCACTTGTGTGGCAGTAGGATAGCGATTGTGCGGCACTTGTTCTAATCCATGAATGAACAAGTCAACCATGTGAAATTTGGACTTTGCAAACAATATTGGCGTATGCTTGAGTCTCAGGTCACGTTTGAGAGAAATGTTTTAGAAAACGTGAGCGATAAAGAAACCAATGTTATAAACTAAAAGGAAGTAGGCAACAACAACGGCTTTGATAGCATATAACCTAGGTAGGAAGATTTGACAACTAGTCACATCCCCCTATAGTACATTTTTGGGATATTTTAGCCCTGGTAGGTGTAAACATAGTTTGGGTGACCGGTCATACACTCCCGTATTGACACAAATAATAGTAAAGGCCTATCTAGCATGAAAGCAAGTAAAAGGAGTTTGGAACGGGCATGCGGTTATGGGCAACACGTCCTGGACAAGCATGACCGAGACATTTGACATGCGGCTATAGGCACCCCGTCTTAGACAAGCATGACCGTGATAATTAGCATAGCTCTTCTAGTCATAAGGATTAGTACTTGCTTACCTCGTGAGCAGTTCAACCCTAGGAATGATCCTAGAAATCTTGTTGTGAGGCATCAGTATTTCTATATTTGCATGTAAGAACTAGGAATTGAGATCAGAAAATAACATGCAAATATGGAAATGCTGATGCCTCACAACAAGATTCCTAGCATCATTCCTAGGCTTTTCTATTTTGTCTTCTTTACTTGCTCTAGAAGTGTCCCTACAGGGTTCCATGTATGGATGTGTGCTCATGTGACGCATATAATCTGTGTACCTTAGTTCTCACGTGTTTATTACTTGTCATACTTCGTTCGTTTATGTATTCTAGTTAAATTAGGAGCCACATTTAACCTCGTCATTCATTTCAAATCTTCGGAAAAGGAACGACACCTTTTCCTAAGCATTTATGACCACTATCCCTATACTGATCTTTTGCATACGACTCTTTAAATTGTTTTAAAGGTGAAGCTTCATTCTTACTTTGTTATAATAATCTTTACAGATAGTGAGAAACAGTGTGACTCTGGAGCTTTAGTTCAGTTATCTGCTGATCCTACAAGCCATCTGATTCAGATGGAGAATAACCAGCTCCACTGTGAATCTTTGAACCCTGTTACTGCTCCACCTCTGTGCAATCTGGATATTGGAGTTATAGGGAGCCTACCTCCTGAACTCTTTTCAGAGTTAAATGAAATCTATGGTGGAAAACTAGATGATCTCCTAGCTAAAAGCAGATATAAAAGTGAAGCTTTCTCGTCTTCTTTAAGGGTTTCGTCTCTAGGACCAGGAGAAGGTGAAATTTATCTATGGAGTAGCTTATTGTTCGGTTTTTGTAACTGATAAAGTTGCTGATTTTTTTTTCTCCCTTTTCTACTGTCAATCAAATGAAGGTGATAGACTTACTATATCAGATGTCCAAGAAAACAAAACACAGTTGGAAAATAAGGTATTATTTAATGGACACTTTGGAATATATCTCATATTTTTCGTGTGCTATCATTCAGTATTTAACAATTATGCTACAAGTTGATTATGCCTATTTTTTTGTTGTTTCACTCTTTTTTTAATCTGAATGAACAGTTTACTGGGGTGAGAGAAACACCCTTCAATTCATTCATGTACTTATGTGCTTTTTGTTGTTTTTGGTCCTGTGCAGCACATTGTTGAACGTTCCCCACCTGCACAGATTTCTGGGGAAGGATTGTGCAATGTGGTGACTCCTATACCTGCCTCTGGATCTCATAGAATTGATTTACTACCTTCATCTCTAAGTCAAGTAGATCCGTCAGTATTACAAGAGCTACCTGAACCACTGAGGGATGACATACTTAAGCAACTCCCAGCACACAGGGGAAAAGAGCTTTCTCTAGAACATTCAGTAAAAATTCATCACGAATCTTGTGATGCCACTGCCAGTACGTCTGGCTCAATAGACTCTTTCACGGAGAATGGTCTTTGGTCTGGGAACCCTCCTCTATGGGTTGATAAGTTTAAAGCCAGTAATTGCTTGATATTACAATTTCTTGCAGAGACGTATACAGAATCGGGGTCACCCAAAAATCTGTATGGGATTTTGCTGAGGACTTTATCTAAATCTTGGCATCCTCCAGTTCCGGAATCTGATGGTTGGGATGGTGCTATTTATGGTTTATGTGAACTTCTTAAGCAGTACTTTAAGTTAAAGATAGAGTTGGACATCGAGGAGACCTATGCTTGTTTTCGTCTTCTTAAGAGGTAATTTTGTATGTTTGTTGAGATGACCTGGTGATGCAGGCTTGAAATTTTGTGCCTCTGTTTCAAGTGGTCTTGCGTTGCTATCTGGTTTTATGATATTTATCATCCACCCTTTTTATTCTTCTTTTCTGGAATTTTAGACATGACCATGCTGATATAATGTTGGAATTACATCAGTTCTAGTCTTCATTGTGTTATCCTTTGTTTTTGTCTCAGGTTAGCGATGAAATCCCAGGTTTTTCTGGAAGTCTTCAACATTATCAATCCTTACCTTCAGGTTATTGCCTTAAAATGCTAATTGAGATCTTTGTTTCTTTTTTTTGATAAAAAGCCAATTTTCATTGAGAAAAAAATGAAAGAACATACAAAAAAACAAGCTCACAAAAGGAAACACCCTAGAGAAAAGGGTGTTTATCCAAAGTATTGATTCTTCCATAGATAACCTACCAGACATAGAGCTTCACCTTCCGAATGGAAGCAAGATCTATGGGAAGAACCCTCAGGGACTAGGGCTCCAAATATACAGTTCTCTTATCCCGTCTAAGTTCAAAGTTCCCCAATAAAGAAAGGATAGTCATAACCTCTGTCGTTCCCTTTTGGACAAAGAACGACGGAACTCGAATGAAGGGGAGAGAACTCCCAGAATGAATCAAGACATCAATCACACAACGATTTTTCAGTTTTAAATCAATGGTTTTTCATGTCAATAGTGCCCCTTTTTAGTTTTTGGTATCGTGCTTGAAAATGAATGAGTAGAGATGTATGGTTAACCAACATGTAGATTAGGTGATTCTCATTCTGCATTTGTGGGCAAGTGGAAGTGAATCAAGGCCTTTTAGAGTTTTACTAGATCCGCACACAAGACACTCACTAGCAAACAAAATTATAATTAGTGACCAGGCATTAACACAAAAGATTCTTTCATACATAATTTAACAGGCTAAATTATGTAGCTATAACATCTTTGTTTCTCTATTGAAGTTGTTAATTTTTTTCTGGACTCATTCTCATTGCACTTCAAATCATCAGGGAGCGGTCAATGAATTCTACGGCGGAAGTTTGAAGGGTAAGATGCTTTCAATAATTCAGTGACGCATATTACAACTTTCATCATTTAACAATCTTTAAACAAGTAATGTCTGTCGTTAACAATATACTTCAAATTGAATCATCAAGAAACTATTTTTGCTTTATCTAAATCCTATGACTTGAATGGATTGAAGTCTTACTTGTTCTTACAATTGTATGAAGTATAGGTTAAATGTTCATAGGATAGGTGATGAAGTTAAGCTGTGGAGAACAAAGTATCTGCTTCTTCAGAAATTTCCTTTGGCATGGTAGTAAAGACAGGCCCAGGCGGTTCCCATCTCACTAAATGAAAACAAGGTGGTCTGGGTATTTGTAGATTAAAACACAACAATCTCAAGCCCTTCTAGCAAAGTGGATATGGCGCTTCCAAGCTGAAAAAGTGGCACTTTGAGAAGAACTATTGCTGCCAAATATGGTACCTTCCACTTAACTTTTTCATTGGTGTAAGGTCCAGAAATTTGGGAAATATAAATGTTGGGTGGTCAGTCTAATGGCGGTAAACAAAATCACCCCCGAGTGTCTGGCCCATAGAGTATTGTGACTTTCTTAGATGAGCTTCTTCCTCAATTTTCTCGTTCTCTGGACATACAGTTTGTTTCCTTTTGTCAGTCGAAATTCCCTCTTTGCGTTCATCTAGATCGAGTGTGCGCGTTATTGTGCGATTCTAACGGATGTGGAGATATATCCCAGGTCCAACAAGATGGAAAACCGTGTTAGAATGAGGAATGAAAGAGGAGATGATACACGTGTTAAATATCAAATTTTAATTTATTTTTTTTGTAAATGATGTTGAATATTATATTATATTTTTATTATGAAATAAATTATTTCCAACAAACGAAAATTAAAATAAATGACAGAAATGGTGGCAGATTATTATTATTATTATTTTATCATCATTCTTTCAAAGCAAATTTTAGTCAAAACGAACAAACATGGGTTCTCACAAGGTTAGTTGTTGTGCATTAAAATCATTTATCAAAAGGGTTGAGAGTGATGTTTTAACCTAACTCTGATCGGGCTTGACTTGGTCAACCCTAAAACTGTAACACAAACAACTAACCATTTCTAGTTAGTTATTTATTGGTCAAATTTCATTCTAGTCTAATCCTAATAATTTGTATATTTTCTATTTGAGTACAATACCATTTCTTTTTTCTTTTCACATTGTCTAAACATTTGCTATGTACTTTCGAATGAGTCTAGACTGTAATTTAACTTAAGTTGTGTTGTATTCTTCTTGCACGACCTAAAATTTAGCAACTAATGTGAGAGTCCCACATTGATTGGGGAGGATAACAAATAAAGACGTGGAAACCTTCTCTTACCAGACACGTTTTAAAGCCTCGAGGGAAAGCCCAAAGAGGACAATACTTGCCCATGACCACATGCTCATGACAAGCCAAATCTTTTATGTCTTTTCATATTCTAGTATTTTATTTTTGTATTTCTAGGGAGTATGATGTTTCAGAAATATCATGTCTATGTCTGTCAAACATGAAATGATTCAGAATGTACTATAGGAGATACGACTAGTTGTCAACTTCTCCCTACCCGAGGTTTATACTGTGAGCCGTTGTTATTTCTTTCTTGCTCGCTTATATAATGTCTCTTTCAAAAATATCTCTTTCGAAAATCTCTCTCTGCCTTTGTTTTCCAAAACCTTCTCTTAAAACTGAAGTCAGAGGCTCGAGCATACGTCGTTTGGCCGTAGACGACACAATAACGAATTGGCTTAGCTCACTTGTCGTTAGAAAGTAAGTGTCGCACCATTGTGACACTAAAATGGCGGTTTAATAAGAAACTTTTCAAGCAAACAAAACCCACGAATCAAAAGTGCCACTCATCTCTCTACTCCAAAACAATCATCAAAATAAACAAGTCCAACAACTCAAACCCCTAAAAACAGGAAAAGAACAAAAAAAAAGAACATCTTTTCACATCTATTTCTTTCCCATCAAAAAAAAGAACTGTCGATTTACAGCTTCTTCTGCTCTGTTTCTGATTCATTTAACTCAAAAAAACACCAAAACTATGTACACATCAAACTCCAAAACCCTCCTTCCTTCTCAGAGCTTCCTCCCCATAGCCATGGCCGGCGACCAAAAGTCCGCCACCGTACAGTTCGCCAAATGCAAGCTGCACTCCACCGGAATCAAACACAGCCCTCTCCCTTTCATCTCCCCCTCTGTTTCCCCATTTCCTCTTCCCTTCAGCGAGACAAAGCGAAGAAATGGTTTAAAATCAACGAAGAACAGAAAGAAACCTCTGTTTTTTGAAACAGAGTGCTTACCAGCTGATTCTTGTCCAGGTAAGGACTGTACAAGACTTGAATTTGTTCGTGTAAAAATTTGATGTAACCCATTGCCTCGTGAAGAACTGATGCTGTGTCTGTCTGTTTTTGAAGCCATCAACATTCAAAAATTGATATCAAGTCCTTGAAAATGGAAAAAATGAAATGAAAGTAGATACTCTTTTTTTTTTCTGCAACCTTGCCGAACGGCGAAACCAATTGTTGTAGCGCTGTGATTCTTTCTCCCAGCTTCTCCTTCCTCTAATATCACCAAATAAACAAAACCCATTTCATAAAAACAGAGAAAAAACAAGAACATGGCAAGAACTGACTGACCTTTGCATGTCCGGCAGAACAGGGAGCTTCAGGTTTGGTCTTTTTTGAAGCTTTCTGGTTCGACAGTGGAGCTGGTTTAATGGCGGTTGTTTCTGGGTTTGATCCATTTTTTCTCTTTACGGAATCGCTGCATGCGTGGGCTGATCTAAGCCCCAGCTGGGGATGTTCTTGCTCTTGTTTGGTGCCGAAACAGAGCATCTTGGGGGGGTTTTCAATGGCGAATGATGAAGAAACAGAGTACTCAAAGATTTGGTGATGAACATGATGATGTTTATCAACATCGATCTCATCATATTCATCATGATCTGCGGAGAATAGAAGCTGAGAAAAAGTGGTAGCTGCTGCTGTTTTTGGGTCCCGACCAGAGGATTGATTTTCCGCCATTAATGTGTTGGAAAGAAAACAGAGCCCCAGATAAAAACAGGGTGAAATCGAGCTTCTGGTGTTTTTAAAAGTGTGAAGAACATCAGTGGGAGAAAAAAACGGAAGCTTTTTATGTTTTTTTTTTTTGTTTTTTGTCTCTGTCTCTGTCTCTGTTTGTGTGCGAGTGAGAAGCAGGGGATTATTGTGGTTTTGGTTAGAAATGGAGTGTGTGGAGGGCTTGGAAAGTTCCGAGATTTTGGTTTTTGGAGCGTTTTGGTCAAATGTTTTGGACCCGAGATGGCTGTGGATTTCGATGTCCGAAGTGGAGGCAGAGGAAGCCATTGCCATTGCCATTGCCACTGCCACGGTACTCTGTTTTTTATATGAGGCTCGTGGGGAAGAACACTCGCTTTTGAGTTTCTTTTTAATTTGGTTCTTTTGTTTCTACTTATGATTTAATTGTGTGTGTATGTGAGTCTCTTTGTTTGATGATTTGGTTTGATGTACGAGACGGAGGGAATTAGTGGGTATAGGACGTGGCAGTGTGTGAATGAATGAACTGAGACCATGTTCGAGTGAGAGCGATCTCGAGCACATGATGGTTAAGGAGGATTAAAAAACAGAAAGTCACTACCAATATCAAGAAGGTGCATTTTCTTGGCTCAATTATAGAAACTCTAAAGTTAGCGTGTTTTGCTTAAAGCAATTCTATGTTAGGTGGTCGTGAGATCCTACATGAGTTGGAGAGGGGAACATAGTATTTCTTATAAAAATGTAGAAATATCTTCTTAGTAAACGTGTTTTAAAATTGTGAGGCTGATGACGTACATAATGGATCAAAACAAACAATATCTATTAGCAATAATCTCATGCTGTTAGAAATGGTATCAGAACTAGACATCCGGTAGTCTGCCGACGAGGATGCTGGACTCCCAATCAGGTGGATTGTGAGATCTCACATTAGTTGAAGAGAATAACAAATCATTTCTTATAAAAGGTGCAAAAACATCTCCTCAGTAAACACGTTTTGAAACCATGAAGTTGATAACGACACGTAACAAGCCAAAATGGATAATATTTACTAGCGGTGATCTCAAGTTGTTACAAATGGAATCAGAGTCAGACAACAGGGGGTATGCCAGCAAGGACGTTGGGCTCCCAAAGGAGGTAGATTGTGAGATCTCACATCGATTGAAGAGGGGAACGAAACATTTTCTTATAAAAGTGTAGAAACCTCTCTCTAGTAGATTTATTTTAAACCACGAGGTTGACAACGATACATAACGAGAACAACATCTAGTAGCAATGAGTTACATGGCATCTTAAGAATTTCACTAAAAAAAAACATGTTAAAAGTACTCATGTTTATGTATAGAGATAGTTTCCACTTTTAGAAGTAAAAAATACTGTAACGTGACCATGTCGCAAAGACGAAAATAGCCTTGACTCTTAGAGGTAAGAAATAAGTAACGTAATTATGTTGTAAGAGACAGTAAAAAAATATCGACATCATCAAATATTGGATCCGAATTTCGAATCCTAGGTAGGTCAGTAAAATAAGGTAATATTATAATATTAGAGGAGGGGGGTTGGGGTGCCGACATTTGGTGGGATTAATTCATAGGATGCCGTGTTTCCCCGACACCTCGACGGTTGAATGCTCTTATTTTCTCTAGCCGCCCTCCAATGTCTCGGCCACTGCGACGGCCCTACCTCCGCCTGTCCTTACTTGCCTTTTTTTTTTTTTTTTTTTTTTTTTTTTTTTTTTTTTTTTTTTTTTTTTTTTTTTTTTTTTTTTTTTTTTTTTTTTAATGCCACCTCCTTAATTTTAATATTATTTAAGTGAAAAGTTGAAAATTAATTAAAATATAATTTTTATAAACTTAATTTTGTATTTGAAATTTGAGTTAAAACTCAAATATTCTTAAAATATGATGAAAATTTAAAATAAGTATAATAATAAATGGAAAAGCGGGGTCGATCTCGTCCAGCAGCTTCCCGTGGAGCCTCCTATGGATCATCAGGTCTGCTCAGGGAAGGAGGGAGAACTTCCAGAATAAGCATGACGTAAGCCTCTGTCTATGTATCGACTGTCAGACCCATAACAACACTAAAATGGACTTATATGTTCGAAAACATCTTAGTTGCACTAGCAATCAGTTTATCTTCTTTGCCAACAAAGCTACAACACTGTTTGGTAGTAATCACTCGTGTGCATCATGGTGTTCTCTGACTTGTTAGTCCTCTCTTCCATGACGTTATTTACACTATACGATACCATGAATCTCGACGGGTGATTGTCGGTGTTGTGCTCGTTGTGAGGTAACTCAATAGTCTTTTCTTCTAATCTCCCTCGTTTTTCCTCTATATCATGTTATTTTTCTTTGTTGGTATCGGGAAGAACGTGTAGGGTGAGGGTGCGAGAATTCTGACGAGTCGTCGGAATTCTCATCCCCTTTTTTCGGCGACCTAGTTTTTTTTTTTAATAACAATAAATAGAAACAATTTTTTTATATATATACTAAAAATTGGTAAAAATAACAATAAATAGAAACAAATCAATTATTGGATGAATTTCAAAGTAACTGAAAAAGGGCTAAGACTGGTGTCAATTGTCGAAAGAAAGGAGAAGAAGATTCCAATAATCGCGGGCCTCCACACGATAACCTCCAAACTCCTCGATCATTGTATGAATGCGACGACGATCTTTCTTGGCTGCTTCGATTGGTTGCTCGATTTAGGTATTCCACTCTCTTCGTTTTGATTTTTTAGGAGTGATCACAATTTTGCATCGGTTTTTTTTTTTTTTTTTTTTCTGTTCTTTTTCACAATTTCTTCACTTCATTCGTTTGTTTGATTTCCAATCCACTCGAGAATAGCAATGCGTTTTTTTTTTTCTTATTCGTTAGCGATGGAAATTTAGTTGCTGAACATGATATTGTCGATCAACATTTTCGCGGGCTTTGAATTTTATCATTCGATGTGATTTATATGGGATTATCATAGATGAAGAGGATTCACGTTCTTCTTCGATGTGATTTATGTGGATTATTAGAGATTTGAACTTCTATGTGGTGGCCGGGAACTGGCTGACCTACTCTCCAAAGATTCATAACTGCTTCTTTTCTGATTTATTATTAATTTTTGTAGGTTAAAATAGTTGACCATTTTGATTGTAATGTCCATGAGTTGGTTTATTTAATATATTTTTTCTTTCTTTTCTTTGCTCTTTGTTTTAATGTATGTAGGAATCTCTTTATCAATTCAATATCTGTTTGGGTTTACAGGGATGGAGTTGCTATCATGAGGAAAAGGTGTTTTGAAAGTTTACAATTTCGATTTTATGTTTAGCCATTTGGGTGAAAAGGAATAAGAAGATTTTCAGGAACATGTTAGAATTTTCAAAATGTTTTGGATTGAATTCTAAAAACATAAAGCCTTTTTTCTTTGAGATTTTAGTATGATCCCATGATCTCGATTGCTTTTGTTGTTGTAATTACCTTGTTCAATATGTTTACACAGATTTTATGAATATAATGTTGAATTTGCGTTAGTATAAATGTAGAGTCGAATTGTTTGGTTCTTTTATGTTCAGATTTTGCTTTCTGCCACTCTTTTCATCATGATTCATGTCGTGAATGACTCGTTCTTGGCATTGATCTTAGTGTATTATTAATGTCTGAGGTCAAATTGGAAGACTCTTAGAACTATTGCAATAAAAATTGTGGGAAGATTTGGTGTTGCATATAGAACTTAGTTCTCACCATCCCTGGATTAGGATCTTGTTGCTTGAAGCACCCTGAGCTCGTGGTATATACACCTTTTGAAGTATCTTTATGTCCTCTGTCTTTGGCTGTAAAGATAATGCAACAATCTCTACACTGTTGGACATTTGTTATACTTGTATTGAAATATGTGATAATATGTTATAAATTTGCGTTATAATTCATGCTTTCAATCACTGTAGAGGGTATCCATCAGCTCGTGTTATCCTCATGGGTCATTGTTAGGAATCCAAAGACAAAAAAGATATGAAAGCATTAAAGATTGTTTTGCAATATCAATGAAAAATTGCAATATCAGCAGCCTTCTCCCTCTCCTCCTCTCATAAAGTGTGAGACCCCACATTGGTTGGGGAAGAGAACGAAACATTCTTTATAAGGATGTGGAAACTTCTCCTTAGCAGATGCGTTTTAAAAACCTTGCGGAGAAGTCCGAAAGAGAAAGCCCAAATAGGACAATATCTACTAGCAGTGGACTTGAGCCGTTAAAAATGGTATCAGAGTCAGACACCGAGCCATATGTTCGAGAGGAGACTAAATCCCGAAGGGGTGGATTATGAGACCTCACATTTGTTAGGGATGAGAACAAAACATTCTTTATAAAGGTGTGGAAACCTCTCCCTAGCAAACGCGTTTTAAAAACCTTGAGGGTAAGCTCAAAAGAGAAAGCCCAAAGAGAACAATATCTATTAGCGGTGAGCTTGAGCTGTTATTAGTGCTATGTCCCGGAAGAAAGATTTAAACTTTCTTCCCACTTGATTTGTTGGTTGGTTTCAGGATCCATACTTAAAACAAAGTCTTCTTTGGAAATTTATAAAGAATCCAATCTAGAATGTTACTGTGGAGTGCCTGCAAAAGTAAGAATGTCCAAAGTAAGCATATACGGACTTAAGAAACTTGGTACTTAGTTTACTTCGTCTCCTTTATGTTTATGTTCTGAACACTGGCAGTAACGTGGTTTCTTTCATTGGGCTGATGAACCCGAGCCATCTGATGATCGACACGTCAATGAACTAAACTTGATCCACAACGTGTGTATTTGTCTACAAGAAAGATTTGACGAAATCAAAGAGGAACGCGCCAATGAGACAACAGAATGGGAAAGGAAAAAGGCTGAGCTAATGTTGATCAACACTGTCATGCCGTTCCAAGTCCCAATTTTCGTTTGAAAGGTTAAAGGTTCTCAACGTCAAGGATAGTTTGAAGAGTAATATTGTAATTTTTGAAATAAGACGGGTATTTCGATGAAACCATTTTTTGGATAGAGGTGTTTGAAAATATTTGGTATCTGCTGACAGGTATTGTTAAAGACAGGTATCTCACCACAAATTACAAAAACAGAGCTGTGCACAAAGTTGGAACAGAACTACTGCGCCAAAAAGCTTATATGATTGAACTTTTGAGTCCGACAATTAGTGAGCTATTAACAGACTATGCTTGCACGATGAAAGCATATGCCTTTTATTTTCTGGCAACTTGCAAACTTAGTGTGAAGGTCCCTTTTGTGGTGTAGGCATTGATTATGATAGCAAGCGGGTTTTAACTGTTTTTAGTGGTTGATAATGTTAATGGTGAGATCCCACATCGGTTGGAAAGGAGAACGAAATATTTCCTATTAGGTAGTAGATACGTTTTAAAATTATGAGGCTGAAGACGATACGTAACGAGCCAATATCTGCTAGGTGTGGGTTTGGGATGTTACACCATGCCTAAGTGGACACGAGCATTTCAATTTTATCCTTCAACAAATTTAAGATTGATTTGTTTTGGGTTTTCCATAAACTATTTAAAGTTGACATTAAATAGGTCGCAAAAGACGAATTCGATTTCCACCCGTGCACAACACAAAGTGGATTGAACTTTAGAGAACATTTTGTGCACATATTGTTTTGTTGCTAAGACAAGGACCATATAAGCCAACAACAAGGAGAGGAATAAACTGAATCGAGTCGGAAATTCTTAGAACATATAAAAAAAGAGTTTAGAACTTCCACACGATCGAGAATATGAAAGGTTTTTCGAGCCCTAATCTCACTCTCCAAATTCTCGTGTGGGTGTAGCAACCCTACAGGAGATTAAGATCGAGATTCGAATAATCTAACATCTTATATCATACGAGATAAGATATTTATGTTGTTAGAACATATAAAAAAAAACATCAACTAAAGTGTAAGTGTAGTTAATTAGGGTTTCTCAAACTATATATATATATATATATATATATTATCAAGGAGTGCAACCCACAAATTCTCGTGTGGGTGTACAAATAATCTAACGGTCCACAACTGAGAGCACAATATCTCGAAAGAAAATTTTCGAATGCCAAAGATGCGAAGTTGCACTCTACTAATTTATGGAATAATCATGAATTTATAATTAAGGAATAACCGGTAATTAGTATGGAAAAGGCTAAAATAAAGTCACTGAAGGTTATGTTTAAAATATCATACCTGTTGTGTTCGTTAAACAGTCACATCGATAGAATCTGAGAAGACGATGGCTTGGCGCTCTGGATCGCTTTCTCGGACGTTAATGTCCACTGCCCGCTCTTCATCTTCCCGGTTAACTTCATCGGCTCTTCAACTCCTGCCGCCGCCGGTCACTGCTCCTCGGCGCCTGCCGGCCCGCTAATTCTCTGCGGCTTCCAGGTTCCCTTCCCCTATCATTGCTTCTTTTTGTTGCTAAACTGAAAACGCTAGCCACGAATGTTTTCACGTAGTGCCTGGTTGTTCCGTTACCTTTTTTCGTGGTTTATTGATACTTAACTGGCTGAGAATTATTTTTGCAGATTTGGAATCTTGAGAATTTTTTCTTTTGTTTTGTAGTTTAATTAGCTGATTAAAAATTGGAGAGAATAATCAGAGCAAAGATGTATTCGATATACGGATGGTTCTTGTGTATAGATTTTTTGGCCTTCCATTTCATAATTTAACGCTTGTTTTTTTGCGGTTACTTGTAGAAAGTAGATGAAACAGGAAGTGACCACTTCTGTTCTCTTTTCCTGCATCATGACCCCGGAATATATTATTGACTGGAATTGTTTGCATATGATATGACGAAATTGGCGTCAGAATCTCAAACGTGGAAAGTTATTTTACTGTAAAATTGTAAGTGTGTGCCTTCCTTAAACTTAGTGTTGTGTCTATAATAGATCTACGAACTCTTAACTGTGTCTAATAAGAATTTGGATTTAGGTCTTTGATTTGTCAATTTTATGTTTAATAAAACTCGAATTTACTAACTTATTCATACAAAATTGAAAGTTTAAAGACATGTAATGCACTGTTTTAAATTGTACAACCTATGTCCAAAGCTTGATATATACCACAAACTTGTAACTCTACGTTTATTTTGACTTTATTTATTTTTGGCTCTATTCCATATTGGACATCTTTCTTTCTTTGTCGTATATGATATGTGTTTTTCCAATTTATTCCTATGAAGAAGATATCATTTCTCTATTCTCTAGGTAATAATGGATGTCGCTGAATTTTTGGGTGATCTGTTTGATATTATTTGTAATTCTGTGTTTCTTCATTCGTTTACCGTTTTTTTTTTTTTTTTTTTTTTCCTTCTTCATACTCTAGGAGATTGGGAGAATTGGGATGAATACAATCCTTTATGCCAACTTGCAGCATGACAGCAACTTCCTGCCTGACATCCACCTCACTGTCAATGTTCAGGCTTTTTTCTGCCGTCCCTGTCAAGTTCGCTAGTGGTTGCTTTGTGAGTCTTGCTTGTTCTAGGACACATTATATGCACAGTACAGTAGATTTTCACTCTCTTATTGTTACTTATCTTTGGCCTAGATCCTAGGGTCGCATTTCAATAGTTAAGTTTGCACAACAATGGTTTCTGTTTATGGAGTGGAAGGTAAAATTAGTCAAGAACGCCAAGTCTAGGTGATTAGCTTCTTCCGCACATTGCATTTGTGTGTTGGTTGATAAGATCTTAATAAGGATTTGGAAATGAATTGAGAAGCGGGAGTGGGGAAGATGGATTGTGCTCAAGGACATTCACTCATCCTGAGCTGGAGACTGATACAATTTTGTCGATTTTTCTTGTCCTCTTGTGCTTTTGATTTTGAATAATACATTGGATCCTAGTATTTTCCAACTTATATTTAGACTGGGAACCAGGAAATGAATTGAGAAGCGGGAGTGGGGAAGATGGATTGTGCTGAAGGATATTCACTCTGGGAACCAGGAAATGAATTGAGAAGCGGGAGTGGGGAAGATGGATTGTGCTGAAGGATATTCACTCATCGAACCAGGAAATGAATTGAGAAGCGGGAGTGGGGAAGATGGATTGTGCTGAAGGATATTCACTCATCCTGAGCTGGAGTGTGATACAATGTTGTCGATTTTTTTTGTCCTGTTGTGCTTTTGATTTTGAATAATACATTGGATCCTAGTATTTTCCAACTTATATTTAGACTGGGAACCAGGAAATGAATTGAGAAGCGGGAGTGGGGAAGATGGATTGTGCTGAAGGATATTCACTCATCCTGAGCTGGAGTGTGATACAATGTTGTCGATTTTTTTTGTCCTGTTGTGCTTTTGATTTTGAATAATACATTGGATCCTAGTATTTTCCAACTTATATTTAGACTGGGAACCAGGAAATGAATTGAGAAGCGGGAGTGGGGAAGATGGATTGTGCTGAAGGATATTCACTCATCTTGAGCTGGAGTGTGATACAATGTTGTCGATTTTTTTTGTCCTGTTGTGCTTTTGATTTTGAATAATACATTGGATCCTAGTATTTTCCAACTTATATTTAGACTGGAAACCAGGAAATCTAGCTGCTGGATCCTTGATGGCGATTGGCAGATAGGTTGCAATGCTAGTGTTAACTTATAGACAAATTTAAATAGTATTTTGTGCCATCATAATTTTGGGAATATAAACATAATGATTCAAGCAATGGAAATGGAGTGAGAACTTTTGGACCACTTAGAAAGTGTCTTTCTTTTTTCTTTCCTTTTTTATGGGAGGGTCTCGAGTCTTTGAAAATTACCTTTTGGACTAAATTTGAACTATGAGTTGTATGTGCAATTTTCCATACATCTTAAACTCCTTTAATTTAATGGAATTTATTTTGCCACACGTTTTCTATTTGCTGTGAGTTTCTCCACTTAAATATTTTGGATCAGACTTGCAGAAGGATAAGTCATAATAAATGCTAGTAAAATTGGAAAATGTGATCATGTAAAGAAATTACTAGAGATATCGCCTACCTCAACTCAACTAGAAGTTTCTGCATTTTCGTATTATTTCCTCATTCTCTGTTTAGATAAAATAGTGAGAATGTCGTGCTTATATCGCTTACTTAAAACCGAACACTCTGTGTAATTCTTTTCTCCATTTGGCTGATAAATCATGACATCACGTTAGGTGTTAGGTGTCTGTTTCATGGGTTCAATCAATATCGTTACCTTGTATTTTGGCAGAGAAACACTTGGAAGATAAAGTAATGACTTTGTTTGTTAACTTTTTTATTGCTTCTCACAGCTGCCGTTGGCCCTTTCAGGTACTTAAGTTAAATGGGATTAAACATGGCCATGTGCGGCAATATGCGGGCGCAGGGGACTCGTGAAGAGTTGTTACTTCAGGAACTTGTGCTTTGGAAATACGATAAAAGTGTTCGTAATTATATTCTTGATCAGAGCAGGGATTAAAGCATTTGCTAGATTCTTGTGTCATCGAGCTGTTGCTTCTCATTCATCATTACTCACTATTTCATTATTGATTTACAATTGAAAATAGAATTTTAAAAAAAAAAAATTGTTTTCCGAAGTCAATCAAACAGCCATCGAGAATTGGATGGATGTTAAACTTTGAATTTTCTGAGGTTGCGCTAACACTTGCTAATTTTCAGAGGTTGACCAGGTTGCAAGGAAACTTTGGTCTCAGTAGCCTTCCTAACTTTTGGATCCGCCGACACTTTATTCCCACGGCATTATGTGAGTATTGCTCATGTTTGTTGAATTCCAAATTGAAAACTTTATTCTTCTTCTTTTTGTATGGGAAACAAAACTTATATTAACAAAAGGCCCTACAAAAGGGGCAGATAAAATGTCCTATACCAAGCAAATGAGATTACGTAGAAGACTCCTAATTGGCAAAATATTTGCTGCATCAAGTCACCATTACAAAAATCCTTTGGTAAGGGACACCAGGTAGATGAGAAATCTAACTGGATCCTAGAAAAATTCATGACCCGCCCACTTGAAATTCTTGGATTTCTCTCAAAATCTAGATCCACTGCTACATTAGTTTAGATGGTTCACGAATGCCCATTGAAACAAATCCCCACCCTACTATTCTGGAGAACATACCAGCCAATATCCAAAATTTGGAGGAGCTTATTCTAGCTCAAGGCTGCAAACCGGCAGTGGATAAAAGAGATGGGACTAATCCTCTTCATTCTTCACCAACTAGGGAGATAATTTGCTAGTTCGGCAGCCTCTTTTGAACTCTACAACAAGTGCTCAACCTTTTTAAACGAAGACCCTAAGAAAAGTTCACTCCTTAGGAACATCACCTTCCAAATGAGACGGCCTACCAAACTGCAAGCTGTAACAATCACGAGCCCCCATCGAACCAGTGTGCAAAAAAGGATAGAAGTTTCTGGTTGCAATTACAGGAGAATAGACCAGGTGTGGGGAAGAGTTGCTGTGATTTGTTAGTTCTAAACCGGCTGCATGGTGATTATCCCTTGAAAACTAGTTAGATAAAATGGATTAGGGTAATTATCGTAGAGTTAAAAACACTGATTAGACAGTCGGTATCAAAAGGTGAATGAGATTGCCAGACAGAAATCTCGTTCTCTCGAAGCAAATATTAGTTTTGTTCGACGGAGTGGGTTTTCTTGTGGATGGAAATATTAGATCGTACATAAGTTTTTGTTGAGAAAGAGAGAATCCTCTAATGGATTCCCTTACTAGTACAGGAAAGTGGGAACTTGTAGCCCTGAGAGGTCATTCTATCAAAAGCCAAAGGTCAATAGAATAAGTGGTTTCATAATGCTTCTCCAACTGTGTTTACACAGGGTCTACCATTATATATATTGTCTTGAAAAAGGAAAAAGAAAGTGTTGCTACGCACCAGAAACTAAGATTTCTTATTGTTTGATGTGAAGTTTATATTGGATTAAGAATATTAATAGGTAAACATATTTAGTAAGCTGAGTTGTTTCAAAGAATTCTTATTTAAGAAAAGGGGAACTGAGGAAAGGTGTCGAAGTTGTATCTCGATATGGACCTGTATGGCTACTGATTATTCCCTGCATTGATGATTATAAATAAGCCTAAGGTCCTAAAGTGAAATAAGTGCCTTAGATCCCAAATCCAATCAAATCAGTGACAAGACAATCATTTGGATGAGTTATTGGTAACTGTTGAACTGGCTGATCATGTAGTATAGTGGCTTCTTGTCTTGTGGTGTTTTATTTTGGTGATGCCCATTTTTCACCAATAATGTGCTGATGCAGCCAGATTCCGTTTTGGGTAGGAATAAAGCACCAACATAAAGAAAAGCCCATTTTACACACTTCCTTAGAAAGAGAAACCAAATGCATTTTAACCCTATTCCTTCCATTTTTACCATTCTCCAATACTCTTGTCTGTAAAGCCCATTTTCACCCCCCAACAAAATATCAAATCAAAAAAGCACTAAGAAATACCACCACCACACCCACTTCTCGGTTGTCACTAGGATTATTGCTATGCTGCATATGACATTGGTGAAGCCTGTTTCTTTCAAGTGGGATTTTTTTAGCACTAAGTTATTCTATCAATGATAGATTTCCCCCCTTCTTTTGGTGCTATCCACACATCTTTAAATGGGGTAAAGAAAAACTTTAAATATTTGGGTATTGTCCTCTAAAAGTTATTCTTGTCTTATTTTTGTTTTAGTTTATTAAATGAATTGCTTTAAAAATAAATCATCTTTCTTACAAGTTACAGGATTGGTTAGATACTTTTTAAGAATTATGGACATGTTGTGATTGTTTCTAAGTTTTTTTTTTTTTTTTTTTATCTTGTTTCACACGGATAGACATATTTGAGCTGAGCTCGAATTTGTTTGCATTGAATTAGCTTAGTAACCAGGTAGTGGTTTAAAATTGATAGCTTAGTCACCCCTCCCAGCTGCCTAGTTCATGCTTGATAAAACTCAAAAGATCGTTCGTATCTGTAATGATTTGTGAGATTCTTCCACGAGAAGTTTCTAATACAATAAGCAATACAATTTTAGAGAAAACCAATATCTTTAGCTTCTCAAAAGCAAGACCAAAATGATTTGTTAACTTGGTGGGTAAGAATCAGAAATGGCAGGCAACTGAAACAGATTCTAAGATCATGATTTGACCATTATTGGCATATTATTTGGGATTGTCAACTGTAGGTGTTTCTGAGAGTTACTTCAAAAAGGAGACATCCATCTATAAAGTTATTGAGGCTAAGTTTGGAAAGAATATGGATAGGAGGGAAAAGATTGAGAAAAGAAACCAAAGCTACAAACGTTAATTATATGATCCAATGTCTCCTCAGCACCAGGCCTGACTAAGTGGGGCAAAACCAAATAGAAAAGAAGACCATAGCCCTGAAAAGTTATGGAAGATAGAGAAGAAGCAGCAGAACTAACAGCTACTACCCAAAAGCCAAGTGAATCAAGTCCCACAAGAATCAACAGAAATGAATCAACAGCAAATGAAAATCCTGCGAGAGGGTGGCTGAATTTGAGCTTGGGTGGGAATTTGCAGCCCTCCAATGGCACAAATGATTCTGATTCCCAGCCATTGATGAACAAGCCAAGCAGCAGTTCAGCTGCTGCAACTGCCAAGATGTTTTCTTGTAACTACTGTATGAGGAAATTCTACAGCTCACAAGCATTGGGAGGCCACCAAAATGCCCACAAAAGGGAGAGGGGAGCAGCACGAAGATACCAATTTCAAAAAATAATGGCGATGATGGGTCTGCCTCCATTAATGAATAATGCTGCTAATTTTATGGTTCGATCTTTGGGTGTAAGGCCTCATTCCCTTCTTCTGCAGAGACCAAACAGAGAACCCCTTGGCCATGGAGGATCTTCTGCAACTGTCGCAAGGTTCTACGGCGCCGCCACCTCCGCCGCCACCTCCGCCGCTGCCGCCTGCACGTTGGAGGATGATTTCATGGACATAACTTGGCCTGGAAGCTTCCGATTGAACACACAACAGCAAACAGATCCACCGATGAGCGAACCGCTGAAGCTTGATTTGAATTTAAAGCTTTAGTAATTGGGCATTAATATCAACATAGTTTAGTGGTTAAGGCAGGTTGTAAGTTTGAATTTTGACCTTCCTATTTGTAATGTAAAATGTAATATATAATTTATAAGAGGTTTTATTTTTATTATCGTCATCCTATTTGTAAGGTTAAATGTAGTAAATATATATATATATATTCTCAGGATAAATTATTGGAAGCTATTGGCGAACAGGTCCCATTTTATATATATATATTTTTTTTTTTAAAGAAACATTTATTAGTCTAAATGATGTTTATTACTTTCCATTTTTATAAATAACTTTTTTTAGTTGAGCTAAACTCAGAATTATGTTTCTGTTTGCTTAAATGTACAATTTATTATCAATGTTTTAAGGATAATTCTTTATACTTATTTGGTTTGAATGCTCAATTTTTTTAAAAAAAATACATTTAATTTAGCCGTTTTCTTTTTGATATGATGTTGAAGTGTGTCAAGTTTTGGACATATTTATCCCAATTACTCGATTGTTGATTTCATTAATGTAATTACTGTAATTTATTTAGTGGTTAGGTGGCTATTATTAGCCATTCATCATGCTAAGATTGGCTAACCCATGTTCAACCACATATAGGGCTACTATTGGCTTGGAGAACTTTATAGATGTCAGGGTCATTTTTATCCAAGATGTTCAAGAAATATGTAAAAAAAATATATTGTTCAAATTATCACAAAATGTTACAATTCATACCACATTAAAGAAGAATCAAGATTCATTTATTTTTGAATTGTTACAAATTTTAGATTAGTGATAATTTAAGGTTATCTCAAGGTGGAAGGTTTCATTCGAAATTATATAAATTCTATATGTTATTTTTGTGAAAAAAATTTAAAAATTATAGTAAAAAAACATTTTTGCTTTACTTTAATAGAATTAGAATGCAAACGCCTCCCCGAAGCCTCAAACTAAGTCCTACAAGGGCGGCCGTCGGCACCACTAAACTAAGCTAAAAATGCCGATGTTTATGCCTAAACCTGATTACTAATAAAAAATATTCTAAAGCTGGGCCTATGCTAAATCAACCCATGATTATGATTCAATAGCCTATCTAACAAGTAAGAAAGGGTATCTTCTATCTAATAAGTACCTACTTCTCATTATTTGTGCATGGTTACTGTGCATGTCATGCTAGCCAATGGAAGAGAAAGAGTTTAAGCATCAAGGCATCAACCAGTTAAGTTCTTATGAACCTGTTGAATAATTGCTGATAAATGTCCTCGAAATAATGTGCAGGAATTTCTGGGGGAGACGATAGCTCTGCCACACACATGAACTGCAAAATAAAATGATTTATCATTAAATACATGACCTTAACATTTTTCCCTTCAAGAGATTGAATATTGGCGTAATTTATGTAAACTATGAAGGGATTTGGATTCAATACCTATATCAGTCTAAGCTCTCATGACTTTGAGTTTGATTTTCCCAAAAGGCTTTATACCAATGAAGATATATGTTAGAAATCACGGATCTCCACAATGGTATGATATTATCCACTTTGATCATAAGCTCACATGGCTTTGCTTTGGGCTTCCCCAAAAGCCCCTAAATTAGCCAATGTAGAACTCACTCCCAACAATGTATTCCTTATTTATAAACTTATAATCATTTCCTTAATTAGCCAGTGTGGAACTCTCTCCTAACACACATGTGAGATCCCATATCGGTTGGTGAGGAGAACGAAATACCCTTTATAAAGGTGTGGAAATCTCTCCCTAGTAGACGAGTTTTAAGAATCTTGAGGGGAAGTCCAAAAAGAAAAGCTCCAAAATGACAATATCTGCTAACGGTGGGCTCGGGCCGTTACATTGCAATACCTTAAATTCTTTCTAGAATATACATCATGATTCAAAAGTTTTGAAGGAAAATAACTAATGAAATATGTACGCACACAGTACCTTATGCTGCTTGTACTTGTCTCTTAAAGCTAGTAAAGAGCTTTTTTTTCTATTTAATTGCAAGTCATGAATGGCAAGAATGCATTCCTTCAATTCAGATGGCCTGTAACCGGAGCAAAGTTGTAGTGCAAAACACTGCAAAATGTGAAAACCCAATAGTATTATAATGAAGCTAGCAAGAACATTATGAAACTAAACCATAATTTGGTTTTAAAAAAAGTGCTACGAACATAAAACTTACTTACCCAAGGATGGTTCTGTGGTTTGATTGTCATTCTCGAAAGAAAAATGGCTGATGCAGCGATCTTTGAAGGTAAGAATTGAACAAAACGGTGATCTAACAAACTTAGCTCCGCAAGATAACAACTCAAGAACTCAAATTCCAAGTCTGGAGCCTGCTGGTAGCGTTAACTATTTAGAATCAAGAACAAAAGGGGAGTCATAAAATTGGGAAGTTGTCATGGATGGGGCTTACCTTCCAATTTTCCAAGGAAACTTGTGTAAATATTCTACAATATGGCAACAATGTATTAATCGCGTATTGGGAGAATTAGAATTATAGATTTGTATGAAATGAAATAGTTGAAAAACATTCTTGCCTGAGAAAATTTTTTGTCGTGGGGGCACCTTCAAAGGTCAAGAATTTGCGTACATCTCTCTCCATATTCAATGCCTGCATATTAAACAAAACCAGATAAGAACCATAATCATATCATCAAGAGGGAAAGAATGGGAGCTTGTATCTAAATGCATAAGAACCAAAATTTACAGCTAAGTCTTGTTACATCAGCAGCTCAAAAGGGGTATAAAAATCTTGACAAAATATTAATATTAAATAGATTTTGAAACACAGTTATGATAACAAAAAAATATGAACACAAATACTATCACAACGATATTTATAACTCATAAACCATATCTATTTTCATTGAGATTTTATAACGTGGATCATCAATGTTTATACTATAAGGTATAGTGGATATTGATTTGGCTTTTAATATAGATAAAGATTTATGGAAGTAGACATGTCATATGGACAGTTTCTTCCTTTTTGTTGTAATTTTTGCCTGGGAAAACGAGAATGCAAGATGTCTTAGGAAACACTGACCCTTCAACCTCACGATTTGGGACTCCTCTCGTGACCATTCTCAATAATCCTCCTCTCGAACAAAGTACACCATAGAACCTCCCTTAATCGAGGCTCGAATTATGCTCGACTCCTTCTTTAGAGCCTTCGAACAAAGTACACTCTTTGTTCGACACTTAAATCAATTTTGACTACACCTTTGAGACTCACAATTTTTTTGTACGATATTTGAGGATTCTATTGACATGACTAAGTTAAGAGAATCGCTCTGACCACAATAGTATGATATTGTCTACTTTGAGTATAAGTTCTCATGGTTTTGCTTTTGTTTTTCCCAAAAGGTCTCATGCATCCCTTATTTATAAATTCATGATCAACCTCTTAATTAACCGACGTGAGACTCCTCTCCTAACAATTCTCAACCGCGCCAAATATTAGAAGAGAAAGTGCAACTTAAGCATGGAAAGGACAAAGTGCAGCACCTGTTCAATGGTATACGCATTATCAGTTATATAGCAGAAGTCTTCAACGTGAGGAGGATTGATCTCTTCATACTTCCTACAGCACCAATCAAAATAGCAGTGAGATTTGTAACTAATACCATAAACATTACCAAATAAAACTAGTGGGTTCGTGGTAAATACGATGCAATTAGCATGCAACAAACACCAAGAAGTTGTAGCTTGTTTCTGTCAACAGCATGCCAGGATAAGTATCTGTCAATGTGTGATACAGTGAGATAGAGGGTGTCTGATACAAGCTTGTATTCCTCAGCAACGTCTATTAACCAATCGACTAGAATTTCTCGGAAACGAGGGAACGTTACACTGGAGTGACCGTTGTGAGCCTTTCCAATGTTTGGCAGTACCTTCATGTGTAATTCCATCTGATTCACGCAAGGAAATAACTAGTTGGATCAAATATCAATAGCGAGGATTCGAATCCTCAGTTCATATTGTTAGATGAAAGTGTCCCACATCGGTTAAAGAATGGTCATGGGTTTATAATCTAAGAATATACTCTCCATTGATATGAGGTCTTTTGGGGAACCCTAAAGCAAAGTCATGAGAGCTCATGCTCAAAGTGAACAATATCATACCATTGTGGAGAGTCGTGTTCGTTTAACATGGTATCAAAACCATGCCCTAAACTTAGCCGTGCCAATAGATTGGCAAATCCTCGAATGTCGAACAAAGAACTCCAAAAAGAAAAAAGGAGTCGAGCCTCCTCGAAGGTACGAAGGCAGTCAAAAATGACAAAGACTCCAAAGGAGTCGAGCCTCGATTAAGGGGAGGGCGTACTTTGTTCGAGGGGAGGTGTTAGATGAAAGTGTCCCAAATTGATTAAGTTAGGGAATGGTCATGAGTTTATAATCTAAGAATATACTCTCCATTGGTATGAGCCTTTTGGGGAATCCTAAAGCAAAGTCATGAGAACTCGTGCTGACAATATCATACCATTATGGAGAGTCGTGTAGGTCTAACACATATAATTGGAGAAAATTAAACAACTATTGGTAGAGAGGAATCTCGGATTCTCTAGAATTAATATATTCGTAACTGAACAAGATGTAACTATTAAACTGGACGAAGAAATTAAGATATCGCAATGCTCAGTTCATATAATCGCTTCACTACACACAATATCTCGATCTCAGAGACCTTGCTACACCGATAACTAAAATCAAGCCCTAAAACATATGGCAATGCTCAGTTCATATAAGCACTTCACTACACAGAGAACTTGCCAAACCAAGACAAAGTAAAGGTATAGCAGTCCTCAGTTCATTTAACATCTCGATATTTGAAAAAAAAAAAAAAAAAATCAAGACACAGAAGCCGAAATCCATACCTCCAGTAATCGGAGTTGGTTATAAATCCTATAAGCAGAGCCAGACTTCTTAGAACAATCAACAGACCTTCCTTCAGGAAGTTTCTCCTCGTCCAGATGCTTATCCGTCATCTCCTGATCAGAAAGAGAGCACTGATTCGAACTGAAGATCAACGAGTTGGTGATCTCGTCAAGCACGGCTCTCTTGTTGGCAGTGGCCAGTTGCAAGTCTTCCTCCGACTTGCGCTTCTTCGACGTTCGGACGGAAGGCTTCTGGCA